CGTCTTAATGGTGTAACTAATGCTTAATGGTATTTTTTTCTGTCAATCTATTTTAAAGTGGTATTCAGTCAAGTATTTTGAATAATTTGTCTTAAAATGACAAATTTGAAATCCTCTGTGTTTTAGTGGGATTCCTTTTAATCATATGTTCGAGCTGTTTACTTGAGGATATTGGAATGGAAATAGGATCGAAGGAAGAAGAACAAGAACACGTACTGCTCGAGGTTAAGCAGAAAAATGGTTTTTGAAATGGTACAAACATTAGTGGTTCTATGATGAGTCTTGCCGATGGCTTTTCCAATAAAAAGAAAAATATGAAATGTTGTATTGGAAAACTGTTTAATCACGTAGAAATTCAAGGAAGGATAACCTAAGAAATGACGAACTTGACATTTCAGAGAAGCTGGCCAAAGACCAAACCCAAAGAGCCCTTAAGTTGGAGATGGGATGAATTATGGTGTTTGAGGTTTGAGAGATTGAGGATGAAGCTGGTGAGGGATTTTCTGTGGTTAAAAGGGAGAATGAAGGTCATAAATAAGTGGGGCTGACGTTTAATCTCAAACAAAATCTCGGAGAACGAGTTTATCTTCGACTTTTACTTCCAACTGAAACCTCTAATTGTTTGAGTTTTTTTTTTGGTAGGTGCCAGCTTAACGTTATCTAGTTGTTCAAGCATTACAAATACTCTTTCTTCCATACTAATATAAGCTCGAGCGAAAGTCTACTGGAGACCCTAGCAAAGGTTTTACCAACTGTAGAAGCTACATATAATGTTAGTAAACTACATTTGATGTTAGAGCATCATTATCAATGAAATTGAGTGGGTATCATTACCATTACTTTATTAATAATTTTAATACTAGTTTAATTTTTGAGACTCATTAAGAACTTCTTAAATTTTGTATGTCCAATGATGATACTCAATGGGTTTTAAAGAATAAAAAAAATATTTTTTATCAAAAAAAAAATGAAAGAAAATCAAATTAGTATTTATAAATATAGAAGATTTTATTAAAACTTGAATAACACAATTATANAAAATTAAAAAA